CAGATCACTCCTTTGACCCACACAAGGAGGCCACATTACTGTCCAAAGTGGGCTGCTGTCTCTCTGAGTGGAAGAAGGAAAATTGCAGGCCGGGAAGCATCTAAAGGGGGTGTTGACTGGAAGTATGAGAAGACACAAAGGTCCCCGTTGGGAGGGGCCTGGAAACAGGTGGCCAAGGTCCAGTGTCTGTCATAAGCAGAGGGCAGGAGTTTGCTCAGCGTCCAGTGGTCGCCTATCACCAGTGGCCCCGTGGGTTTAAAATAACCAATTGAAACTCAGTCTTCCTACAGCAGAGTTCAAAAGAAAAATCTGTTACTCAGTATCTGTGCATTCTTGGAAACCCAGGCCCACCCCCGATACAGGGAAGCAATTTTTAATTTGGTGCCTTCCACTCTACCCAACTGCCTGCCCTTATCTCAACTCGGTGTTTCCCCTCATGTTTGTTTTCTGTCTCTCAGCTTAGCTATGTAGATGGTTCCAGTTATCTATGAACCTTGTGTAACTGCTGTTTGCATTGAGGGGCTCACAGGCCAACTGCTTTAAGGTCCTGCCCCTGGCTGGCTGCCTATTTACATGTAAGGAAAAGAATTAAATTACCTCTTACAGTAGCAAGTGTGGTGTGCTGACTGGGGGGTCTTGAGTGTATTTGTTCTCTTCCCTCTGCCATTGCTGTAGGAGCAGTTCTGGGCTGACCAGAGGGCGGGTAAAAGGCATGCGATGCCCAGCTGAATCACCTCGGTCACCCAGTGCAGGGCACAGCCAGCCAGCTCCAGAGATGTCATCAAGCGATCCAAGATCAGGAGCCGGTAGAGTGCACCCCAGGCATATAGTACCTGTCATTTGTTGGTCTTGTTACTGTTATTATGCGATGTAAATGTACAACCAACTACAGATATGTGCTACTTTAAGGACTGTCTTTACGGCTTCCCTGACATTGAAGTTTGCTTTTAGTGACTTTTTATTTTTGACCGAAAAAGTATGATCAGAGAAGTGACTTTGCTGTAAGTTATTGATGCTTTGAGATTCCTAGACATTTCCTTGCTGGTGCAGCATATTTTAATACTTAGTAAGGCTCCACGTGCAATTGAAGTACATGTAGGCCACCATTTAGATTGAGGGTTTTGTACGTATTGATTGATCTTTCTAATTCTATTCCTCAAATCTTCAGTATCTCTTCCTACTTTTTTGATTTTTATTGAAATTTTCTACTCTAATCAGAGGGTTGGCGGCTCCTTCTCCGGTCCGTTAGGGTCCAGCAGCTGCGTTTACAGGCTAGTTGGCTGCATACGACATCCTCTAATGCTCCCTTTGCGGAGGCAGATTGCTTCTACATCTCATCACAATGTAAAACGCTACTTTCTTTATGCTAACATCTGTGCGCTATTTCTTTATTTTTAACTCTTAGCTGAATTTTAAAATACTTGACTAATGCATTAAGAAGTCATAACTATATGTATGCTTAGATTTTTAAATTGATTTATAGCAGTACTTTAAAGAATTTATTTATAGGGGCCGAGGAGATGGCTCAGCAGAATAAGCGCTTGCCTGGCAAACGCAGGGTCCTGAGTTCAATCCCCAGTTCCACCAAAAAAAAAAAAAAAAAAAAAAAAAAAAAGAATTTATTTATTTGGTGCAGGGTCTCAGTATGCAGTTCAGACTCATGGTGATCCTCCTGTTTCAGCCTCCCCAGTGCTGGGATTACAGGCGGGCGCCACCGCGCCAGATTTCAGTGGCCAGCATGGCACATCCGGGGTTCTGGGGCTGGCACAGTATGTGGTATCGGGGATCAAACCTAGGTCCTTGCACTTGCCAGGTAGGTGCTTAGATCGCTGAGCTATCTCACCAGCTCTATAGAAATATTTTAAGGAAGTTAATTAAATCATGCATAACTTTTGCTTTGGGTGGCCAGGTCTGTCACTAAATTTTATTTTTATGCTAAAACTATTCTTTTTTTTTTTTTTTTTTTTTTTTTAGGGCTGGGAAGATAGCTCAGTAGAATAAGTGCTTGCCTGGCAAGCACAGGGTCCTGAGTTCAATCCCTGGTACTGCAAATAAATAAATAAATATAAATAAACAAATAAATAAAATAAAACTATCCTTTTTGATTTTAGTTTTCTCTCTTCTTAGCATATTGTCTGTATTCTTACCAATTCTTATTGAACTGAAATATTTCTTCTTTTCTTTTGCTTTTATCTTCTGTCAAAAGATGTAAGAGCTACTTATATCCTTTTAATGACTTCTTTTAACTTTGGAATTTCCCAGAAAGTGTAAGGTATTGTATAAAACCTTAACACCTTTTACTATACCTACATAAAGATCACCTATTGTAAATACTTTCTGAATGTTTTCACACTCTGTCAGATTCCATCCTGTCTTACTCACTTTTCTTTTGTTGCTGAAATTAAATACTCAACATCCAAAGTTAAAGGAAGGGCTTATTAAGCTCATAGCTTGTAGAGGTTTCCGTCCAAAATTGGCTGGCCCCAAGGCAGAGTAGCACACGGCAGAGGGGCAACCATTCCTAGCCATGGAGGACAGCAAAAGCAACAATGGAAGGAGAAGAAAAAAGCCTCTCTGTATCTCTTACATTTTATGCAAGCTACCTGCCTTTGGGAAGGTACAACTCTTGTACCTTTAATCCCAGCACTGAACCATGAATGAATCACAGACTCGAGATTCAGATACCTCTGAAAAGCCTGCTCCCATGACTGCATGAGGCTTTGGCGGGGAGGTACCTAGACACAAAGCATAGTACAGTTATTCTGGATCATTATCACATAGAAATGTAGTTTAATTTTTAATTTAAAGTACACATACAATAAATTTATTGTTGCTGACAATGGCTCCTTACATTTGCCAGGGAACACTCTGGCTTCTGTGGGGAGGTATAGGATTGTGCTTAAGGTGGAGAGTGGAGACTTTGCCCTGGGCCTGGATTAGCTTCTGCTGAATTAAGAACCCAGGATCCTTTATCTAATGTGAGGGCCTGGCTCACTTCAGACATATCCCACAGACTTCACCTATAATCGCCTTCAGAGAGCACCGTTATTTTTCCATGGCTATTACATCAACCACCAGTGAGCTGAGCAGCAGCAAAGAGCTGTTTTAGCCTAGTGAACACTGAATAAAGAACACTCACATGATTATCTATCTATCTATCTATCTATCTATCTATCTATCTATCATCTATCTATCTATCTATCATCTATCTATCTATCTATCTATCTATCTCTATATTGTTGCAGCAGGGACATACGATACCTTCTGGAAGAACACCTTAGTGCATAACAGCAAGAACAACAGCTACATCTTTCCAAAGACCCAGTCAGCCCAAACTACATGAACATGCTATATGGAGCCTTTCCTGAAAGCTGGGTGTGCATGCTCTCAAATGGTCTTCTCTGTGGGACAAAATAGGATAGTGAAGGTGTTTATAGAAAGTAAAGAGATTCTGGGCTACTCATCTACTGCAGGAATGGGCCTTGGGATGTGGTCAGGACTTTTGACCGCCACGTCAGTGCCTGCAAGGTGAAGGGTATCAATCATCTCTTAAGTAATGGTTTCAGACAGAGGCGTTCTCTTCCATCTACACAAATACCATATTGGCCACAGATGGACACCACGTGGCTGCTGTGGACCCCTCTACTGTAATGCAGAGTGAGAGTGTCCTCGCCTGCAGCTCTCATGCTCCACAAGGGACAGGATCACACATGGAGCAGGACCTTTTCCTAGAGTTGAAGCTCCGGTGAGGACGCCAGGGGCCAGATCCAATGAGAGGTGTGTTAGGCACAGCAGGGTCAGAGAGTGCTGCACGTGGGAGGATCCTGCATGCAGATGGTTAGAGAGGCCGGGAGGCAAGTCTAGCAGGTAGAGCAAAATTGGTCAGAAATCCCATGGGGAAATAGAGGCAGGAAAGACAGACAATTCAAAGAGCAAAATTGCACTAGGTCAGGTTTCTCAGTGAAAAGGGGTGGAGGGACCCCAAGTGCGGCTCTTGGTGCAGGACATTCGGCGTGACATTGTAAAGGGGCTCATGCAGGGTAACAGAAGAAGCTAAGCTGGCCAGGAGCATGGTCTCCTCATGACAGACTCAGTTTTGGCCCAACAGAGCATGGAGAAACTTCTCTGACCCCTCAGATTAGGTCAGTTGCCATGCACCCCCAATTGGTACCTGTGTTGTAGCTGGCAAAGAGATCAATAACAGGACTTGTTTACTGGACATGTGGCAATTGTGGCAAGTTTTTCCACTGGAATGACTGCTTGTCCCCCTCTCCTGCTTGGGAAATTCACAACAAAATACACTATAGAAGCATGATTTACTATAAACACTCTCTTTACTACAAACACTCCAAAGAACCCGTGTAACAAAAACCTATGTGTTTCAAACTCACACTCAACTCATAGCATCCAAAGCATAGAAGATTCTAAAAAGCACCATACATTTTTTAAATTCTTATAGTGTGAGAAGGAAAGGAAACAGGCAATAAAATAGTTCTCTAAGCACTCTTGGTAGCCATCTCAAAGTCACAGAAACCTCTACCCAAAATTTCTTCAAATTATTTGGTGATAACAGTAGATAATTATATCTTTAGAAACAACTCATGGTTAAAAACCATTTATCAAGATTCTATGTTCTAAAAAAAAAAAAAAAGAAAAGGTTCTATGTTCTTCACAATTTTTAAAAGCCAATTTCAGTTTATTTCCACATGTAGTTTCTGACTTAAAGCAGTATCAGGGTTAAACAACATTTTTTTTAAAAAAACAACATATTTTCGTTCAGTGCTTTTTATCTATCTTATATGGGATATCAGATATTAATACACTGCAAAACAACTTTCAATTTTCAAAATAATTTCTCCATAGATCTTTAGCATTCAGCTCAGGAAACTAATTTTGTGATAGGAAAAAAAAAAAAAAAAAAAAAGAAAGAAAAAAAAAAATCTCTCCAGACCCAAAGAAAACTAACCACAATACAAAACAGAAACACATAGTGAACTTACTTTGTAGAAATTTGGTCTTTGTGTTTAGAAGACAATGACGCACATATTTCCTCTTCTGGTCTCTACCCCTTCTCTAGAATTTGGTTAAGCATAGGACATACAGGAAAAGGTCCCGTGAAGGCTGCTTTCGGACGCAAGCTGTGACCTCAGTTCTGTTAGCCTGGCCAGCGAGGGATCGCTATTGAGCTGTTTGTCTTCTCACTGACATTTAGCCAGTCTCCGGCTGCAGAGCACTAGAATTGGCCCTGGGTGGTCTGGTGGTATCCCATGAAAAAGTGAAACTTGACAGAGGAAATTCTACATTCCTAAACTGTCAACAAATCACAGATCAATTGGCCTTTAATGAAGAGGGACATTGTCATATTATTTTAGAAGGAAAAGGGTGGTAAGATTCTGAATGTATAGCACAGCTTTTAAAATATGGATAAGCAGGGCTGGCCAGATAGCTCAACGGACTAAAGCACCTACTTAAGCAAAGCACAAGGCCCGGGGTTTGATCCCCAGCGTGCTGTGCTGGCCCCACCCCCAGGGTGCACTGAGACAGTGATGGAGACTGGGCGTGGTGGCTTGTGCCTGTAATCCCAGCACTTGGGAGGCTGAAAACAGGAGGATCACTATGAGTCCCATCTCTGTAGCGAGAACCCTGAACACCCTGTAGACCCTGAACACCCAGTAGACCCTGCACCAAATACATGAAAAAAAGCTTCAAATATGGATAAACAAGCTAATCAGATAGTTAGGCAGATAGTTTATAGTAGGGAATAAAGGTTAAAGAGATTTATCCTGGCCTTATTGAGGCTCTGAGTACAGAAGAAGCAGAAGTGGCTCAAGAACAACAGCTTGAGCTCAGGAAAGCTGAAACGGAATGGACAAACTGACAGAGCCTGTGCCTGTGGGAACTCACAAAGGGGAACTATAACTTTCTTTGGCCTTCTGTGATTGTCAAAGTCCTGCTCATAAACAAAAAAACCTAGTAGCATAAGTATTTAGAATTGGGGATCGAACAGAAATTTTGCCAAGAAGAAGAAATAGCATAAGTAAAGGTAGAAATGACCACATACCTATGACATTACAGTAGTATAATATAAAATAAGACATGATAGGTTTGGATTTATAATTTGTCCATACTCAGGTTATATCCAGATCCACAACAACATTTGATATGTGGATAGAGGACTAATGTCATCAGTAAGACTGAGAAAACATAGGTTTCATTCTGGTACAGCTTGGGTGGGACTGTCCTGCAAAGGCATCTATGTTGAAGGCTCGGGTCCCAGGTAGTGGTGTAATTGGAAGATGATGGAAATGTCAGGTGGTGAAGACCAGTTGGAGGAAGGGCGTAACTGGTCCATGCTGAAGGGTCTGTTTCATTCTAGCCTTTGTGGTCTCTCTCTCCTTGGGATTCCTGGTGGCCCGAGATGAGTAGCCTTCTCCAGTACGTGCTCCGGAGGCCCCAACTTCACCATCCCGGAGCCAAGTCATGTGGACTGAAGCCCCTAAAACTGACAGCTGCAGTAGCTCCGCCTTCCCTTGAGGTGTCTATATCATCTTTTTTGCTGCGGTGATGGAAAGCTGGTTAATGCAAACTCTGATTTACTTTGTTATGATTTTAATCCAAACTGTAATGTAACTTCTATCTGGTATATTCTAGATTAATTGGCAAAAGTAGAATGATTTTAACAACACTTGTGAAGATGCATATGTCAGTGATCAAACTGATGTAGAGGAGGTTGAGGGGGACCGAATGAATTCACTGAAGAGCTCTTTTGATGGAAGAAAATGGGCTAGTGGAGGAAATGAACTCAGTTGATAATGAGGTAAAGCCTGGGTTCAGTCCACTGTCACCTTTTATGAACTTCAGATTTTCACTGGTGGGCAGAGGGAAAAGAGGTGATGCTTGCGCACACGAGCAGTGTATTTTTTTCTAAAATTTTCCTAGATTAAAAAGCTTTGGGGGCCTGGCCCTAGCTCAGCCCTTTAAGTGGCTGCTTCCACCAAGCTGTCAGCCTCAGGTTGTTGGAGTTCGAACCTCACACCTCTCCAGCTTGCCAAAAGTGCCCTGAAAAAAACCTTATGGAGCCGGGGAGATGGCTCAGTAGATTAAGCGCTTGCTTGGCAAGCGCAAGGGTCTGAGTTCAATCCCCGGTTCTGCAAAATAAATAAATAAATAAATAAATAATAAAAAGCTTTCAACCAATGATCAATAAAATTCTTCTCTAAAGGATCAGATAGTAAGTGCTTTAGGCTTTGTGGACCACATATAGCCTCTGTTGCATGTGTTTTTCTTTTTTAAAAAATTAAAATTTATTTGGTACCTGTAATACCAAAGTTTATTTGGTATTAGGGTCTTGCTACGCAGTTGGACTTGTAGTGATCCTCCTGTCTCAGCCTCTGCAACGCTGGGATTACAGGCATGCACCACCATGCTTGGCTCGACAAAGCACTGTTTTAAAGGACACAACAAAAGTAACCACAAATGAAGAAATTCTATTCATTAACATGAACAAATTTTAAAAAGTCAACTTGAAAACCACAAAGCAAAAGTCGTTTGCAGGATTTATCCACTGCAGCTTTGCCTGAGGAAGGGCTTGTCGTTATAGCATAAGTGAACTTCCACGAGTCAATAAATAAAAGACATGTAACTTGAATCCTTTAAAACGTGGTTAAGAGAACTCAATTGCTATGTAACACCAAAAGTATTCAAATTATGAACAACCGTGTGAAAGCATATTTGATATTGCTATTCATCAGTGGAATGAGAAAGCCTCTTATGTGAGAATATGTGATATTAAACATATTATAGGTAATAATATTGAAGACTTAGAATTTTCACATACTATTAATATTATTGTAAATTTATACTGCCATCTTTTATAAATACTTGAGAGAATCTACTGCAAATGAGCAAGTACCTATTCTGTGACACAGCAACCAGATGCTTAAGAATAGACACAATAGGGGCTGGGGAGATAGCTCAGCGATCTAAGTGCCTGCCCGGCAAGCACAAGACCCAGGTTCAATCCCTGGTACCACATGCTGTGCCAGCCTCAAAACCAGTCATGGTGGCTCCCAGAATCCTACAACTCCGGGCATACCTTGTGGGCCACCAGAACTAGGTATGGTGGTGTACACCTGTAATCCCAGCGCTGGGGAGGCTGAGACAGGAGGATCACTACTGTTCTAAGCTGTGTAGTGAGGCCTGTGTCCAATAAATAAACAAAACAAAACAAACCAAAAAATGAGGAAGGATCTCTGATACAAATCTGCTGAAGTTTTTAAGCTGTAGGGAGTGTAGATTGGCACTGAGAAGGGAGTAAGGGCTCGGTCCTTTGGAGTCAGAGGTTTGTTGAACTTGCCCTCTCTAGGGTGACATCAATCACTTATGGCTTCATGTGGTGGTCAGGTTGAAAGACACAGAAACAAGAGAGGAGAATTTCTTGGTTTCTGCAACCTCCTCCACGCCAAGAACTGAACTGCGTGGGTCAATTGTTATCTTTGCGTTTAGTAGCATCCATGCTCCAGGGACACACATATCTCTAGAGAAAATATACAGCTGGCATGACCTGCTTTCCATTCAAATGCCATTGGACAGAAGGTCACACCATGACTCTGACATTTGCTAGGAGCCCAGGTATGCAAAAAAAACCTCTGAATGGAATATACCCCTGGGGCAGCCTGCATTCTTTCCCTACTTGTTTGGCAGGAGCTTAAAGTAGTTTCAATAAGCTGCAGCTGTGAAATCCTATTCCCCAAATCCACAGGGAATTCTAACTTTAAGAGACCAGGAGAGAAGATTGGATTGGTGTCCCCTCTGATGATGTGCCTTCGCTTGTGTCTCCCAGCACTTTGGCTAAGAAGGAGTTTTACTTTCCCTTCAGCTACACTAACTTTTAATTTTTCTTTACTTTTTTTCTTTAACTTAATTTATTTCTCTTCTCATTTTGTCCTTTGTTCTCTTTGCTTCTATTTTTATTATTTTATTCATTGATTTTTAAAATTTTCATATATATATATATTCTATTTTAATTTTGTAAATCTTTCTTTTTTCTATCTTTATTTGGAGTCAGATAGGGTTTCCTATATTTATTTTCTCTTTCTTTCTTTCTTTCTTTCTTTCTTTCTTTCTTTTTTTTTTCTTTCTTCTTTCTTTCTTCTCCTGCTCTTCCAGACCAATTCCACACCCTTGGGCTCCCTGGACGCATCTCACTACGAAGCTGCACTGCCAAGTCAGCTGAGAAGAATTAAGTCCAGTTTGGCCACATTCCAGTCCTGCCTGAAGCTGGGTGGATATTGCTCCCTAGAGAAAAGGTGAGTCCTACGCTCCCTGTTGTGGCACTACTAGGAGGAGGAGACCCTGTCTGGCTCTTGGGGAGCCAGCTCCGTAGCAGCAGCAGGGAGCACAAATGCAATGTTTGCTGTCACATCCTTGCAGTCCCCTACACCTGCTGCAGATGCACTAGGTGAGGCTGTGTAGGGCCACTAGGCTGAAGGTGAGTCCCTCGGAGCAGGATCTGGGATTCTAACTCTTGACATTCCTTCTGAAGCACCCAGAACTACAGTAAACTCCAGTCAGACATGAGAGCGTCAGACCCTTCAGCACAATTGGAGCAACTGGCGTCACAGTTGACTTTAACCAACAGAGCTAAGGTTAATGGCACCTGTGAAAATCCCCAACTTGTGGTAGGGGCTGGGGCTGAGCCTTTTGTAGTAGGAGGAGCCGCAAAGGCTACACCTCAGACACTCTACTACTTACACTACCGGAGCTTGCAGGGTAAGAACATCCCTACTCTTACCAGACCTGAAGCAGGTGTACTCTCCACCTTCTACATGGTAACCCTGTGCCCAAGCAGATGATTCAGTACAAACATCTATAAAGGAAGATTATAATATGGAGTCCAGTTAGAAATAAGCTCAACATAACCCAATAAACTGAAACCCTAAGATATACTGCCAGCAGAAAGCCACATGCCAAGATAGAATAGTGGTCAGCACAGCCAAGAGCATGCCTTTGTATCATTTATGGACCTAGGATCCCCCTCCCCCATCAATCTTTTAAGGTCCCGCTCCTGCCCAGAGACCCTCCTCTCTAACTTCCAAACAATAGCCACAAAAGAAAAAAAAAGGCCCGTAAGTCAAGAACTGGTAAAGAAATACCTCAGTGTCCAAAAGTAACCTTTTACCATAGGCAACCCATTATCTACTCATCCATAGGAGCTGTAGCTCATG